AAAAAAAAAAAAAAGATACACTTCCCAAAGGACAGAGTTCAAGCCCCAGGACTGACAAAAATAAATAATAAAATAAATAAGAGATAACAATGGTAATGATGAGCAAAGTATTCCTAAGCCCACAGAAAGATGCAGGACATGGGTGGGGTAAGGAGACACGCTCCCCGGGGGCACCCAAGAGCAGGGAAACCCCCTAACAAGGGACTTTCAGGCAGCAGAATACTACTGGGGTTGAGACTTCACCAGGGGGAAAGTGGCGACGGGGGAGGTGATGGAACATTCTGGAAGCATCCTCGGCAGCTTCCCCTTGCTCCCGGGGTGGGGGTGTCAGCTGTCCCGTGATGTCCGCGGGCAGCCCGGCGACGGTAGGGCCCTTAACACGTGGTTTCCCGCGCCTTGGGCAGAACGAGTTCGGAAGTAAGGTCAGCGACTGCTCCAGCAAGTTCTGCATGTTCCACTCCGAGACCAAGGACCTCCTGTTCCGAGATGACACTAAGTGCCTGGTCCAGCTGCCCGAGGGCACCACCGCCGAGAAGTACTTAGGAGACGAGTATAACAAGGCCATCGGGGGCTTCCGCAAGTGCTCGACCTCATGTGAGTTGGGGCGGGCGGGGCAGGGGGGAGGGGGGGAAGTGGGGTTCCAGCATGGGGTGTGCGCCATACATGTAACACGGTACTGGGGTTCTGAGCACGGAGGACACTGTGATCCTCGGGATGGGGGGAACACTGGTGAAGACAGAACTGAGGGGCCCAGGTGGGAGTAGGTTACTCCACGTGAGCAGGCAGAAAATGGGGGGAGGGGGGACACAGGCCCAGAATGCTAAGGGGCAAACTTGGGGGGTGGGAGGTTACGGGGCTTGAATTCGAGACCTCATGCCCTTGCTTAGATTTGTCACCTTTTGGGGGTGGTACATTGGAGATTATGTGTCTCTCGAAGTTGGGTGCTGGTGGCTCACACCCAACTATTTTTTCCCCCCATGGTGGGTTGCGGGGCTTGAACTCTGGGCCTGGGCGCTGTCCCTCAGCTCCTCAGCTCAAGGCGAGCACTCTACCACTTGAGCCACAGCACCACTTCTGGTTTTCTGGTGGTTCATTGGAGAGAAGAATCTCAGGGACGTTCCTTGCCCAGGCTGGCTTTGAACCGTGATCCTCAGATCTCAGCCTCCTGAGTAGCTAGGATGACGCGCGTGAGCCACCAGCACCCGGCTTCCTGAGACTCTTAACTCCAATGAACCACCAGACAACCGGAAGTGGCTCTGTGGCTCAAAGCGGTAGAGCGCTAGCCTGGAACAAAAGAGCTTTCGGTACAGCACCCAGGCTGTGAGTTCAAGCCCAACGACCCCCCCCCCAGCAACCACCAAAACAAAAGAAGGTTCTAAGTGAACCCCATGTATTCTGAATGTCCCGCCTCTCTGCTCTGCCCCCACAGGGCTCCTGGACGCCTGCTCTTTCCACAAACATTAAAACCTGAGAGGTGAGCTTCTCCCGGCGATCGGCCATTCAAGTGACCCTCAGGCTTCTCCTGGCCTCCACAGCCCGAGGTCCCCGATGCCAGCCTTGTCTAGTCTTTGCCACGTGCCCCAAGCATGAATAAAAACCTACTGTCCATTGTATATTTCCAAGACTCCATTCTTTCCTGAGGATGTCTTTCTATGATCTGACTAAACACAGAAGCAACGGAACAACACCCGCACACTCCTTTCTAAGCTCAGATATCCATCTGAGGAGGAACCTTTTCTGAGGGAGCCCGTGTAGCCATTATAATACAATCAAATCTCTATGGCTATTGTGTGTGTGTGTGTGTGTGTGTGTGTGTGCACATATTCACTTGTCAGAGGATAAGGAATGAAAAAGTGTCTAGCAAGCACAGAGTATGTCTGTAAAAGACTATTAATAATAATTATTATTATTTTGGTGTGTCAGTATCAGATTTGAACTCAGGACCTGAGTACTGTCCCTTAGTTTTTTCTTTTTTTTCTGCTCAAGGCTCAATGGTTGTGCCATTTGAGCCACAGCTCCATTTCAGCTTTTGAGTGGTTAATCAGAGAAAAGCATCTCACCAACTTTCCTACTCGGGCTGGCTTAGCACTGTAATCCTCACATCTTCTGAGTAGCTAAGATTATAGCTGTGAGCTTTTACTTTATTCCAAACTCATTCCTTACACGTAGGCTCAATCTTTTCTGTATTGGGTTACTAGGTCCACGGAAGCCAGAAAAACAACTCTGTAGTAATCAGATTGTTAGTCGATTGTATATTGTTTATATTGTAAATAATGGGGAATAGCAGGGAATCGGTGGCTCACGCCTGTCATCCTAGCTACTCAGGAGGCTGAGGTCTGAGGATCACGGTTCAAAGCCAGCCTGGGCAGAAAAGTCCATGAGACTCTTATCTCCAGTGAACCAGCAGAAAACTGGAAGTGGCGCTGTGGCTCAAGTGGTAGAACACTTGCCTTGAGCTGAAGAGCTCAGGGACAGCGCCCAGGCCCTGAGTTCAAGCCCCATGACCAAAATAATAATAATAATAATAATAACAATAATAATAATAAGGGGGAATAGTGGTCCATCATTTTATATTCCTTAAAAAATGCTCATTACCATTAGAGGTTACCCCCATTCCCATGTACCATGGCTGTAACTTCCCACACCCCTTTATCTTCCCCAGCACTCTTGCTCATCATGCTGCTGCACCCCAAGACTCTCTCAGCTATGAGCGATGCTATAGGCCACCACCAGGGCTGTGCGGTTTACTCCTGTGTGTTGCTCACTTCTACAGCAACTCACAGAGTTGTTTACTTGTGCCTCTCAAAGGAAAACTCACGCCGCTCTTGAGAAACAATTACACTCCACACCACTTGAGCCACAGCGCCACTTCCGGCTTTTTCTGCTTATGTGGTGCTGAGGAATGGAACCCAGGGCCTCATGCATGCAAGGCAAGTGCTCTACCACTGAGCCACTTTCCCAGCCCTTAAATGATGACTGTTTATCAATTTTTTAAATACATTTTACAACTGACAATTCAATATCCATTGATCACAACACCAAGCTCATGGCCAGAGTTTTTCTTATTTTCCTCCAGGGTCTGGTTTTGGAGAACTACACTTAAACCACATTGCCGATCTTCCACACATAAACTTTCATGGGTTTTTTGGTCTCAATTCTCGCTCAATCAAAAATGTCGCCACCCCCAACCCATGATGGAGAGTTGTGGTTCTTTTCTCTTTTGGCTCCCTGCATGTATGCAGGGTTTATAATAATAATTATTATCTACAAGTAGTTGTGCAAAGAGGTTTCAACTAAACACGTTAATTTTCGAGTATGATGCATCTTTTTTTTGTTTTTGTTTTTTTTTGTCAGTCATGGGGCCTGAACTCTGGGCCTGGGCACTGTCCATCATCTCTTCAGCTCAAGGCAAGTGCTCTACCACTTGAGCCACAGCGCCACTTCCGGCTTTTTCTGCTTATGTGGTGCTGAGGAATGGAACCCAGGGCCTCATACATGCAAGGCAAGCGCTCTACCACTAAGCCATCTTCCCAGCCCCAGTACAACGCATCTTGATCAATATCACCCCTCCCGTCATTCTTGTATTAAGGTTTCATGTGGCCCTGTGTAGCAATACGGAACTGTAATAAACTTTGAGTCTTCTGATGACATTGACCTCTGATATCATTATATTAACTTGCACTTACCACCTTTCAGTGGTAGGGAACTTTTTTTTTTTCTATCAGGATCATTTGAGTATTTCTAATATCATTACACACCATACAAAATGATCACCACACATCTACCCCATCACATCACATGAAATCATTTATGATTTCACAAACTATTTTTTTTTTGTCCGTTGTGGGGCTTGAACTCTGGGCCTGGACGCTGTCCCTCAGCTCTTCAGCTAAAGGCGAGCGCTCTACCACTTGAGCCACAGCACTACTTTGGTTTTCTGAGTGGTTTATTGGAGAGAAGAGTCTCACGGAGTTTCCTGCCTGGGCTGGCTTTGAACTGTGATCCTCAGATCTTAGCCTTTTGAGTAGCTAGGATGACAGGCGTGAGCCACCACGCCTGGCTCACAAGCCTTTTATAGCCCACATTCCTTCCCACTCATTACTTGGGTTAAAGCAACAACACCTGCTTAAGCAAGAAACAAGGTGAATGGAACTTCTATCCTGGCCACGCCTCACCCCAAGAGGTCTTTTAATTCCACCACAAATCTCTGAATATTTTCAATTAACCTACTGGATATTTAGAAGTGGAAAACGTCTCATTTAGCAACAACAACAACAAAACCCAAGTATCTTTCTAGATTCTCTTGCAAAATTGGAGGTATTGGCTACCTAGGTTCCTACCTGGCTGAGCAAGGTCCACTTTCCTCCAGCAAGAGTGAAGTTCTCAGTAGCCCTAGGCCCTTACGTGCATGGATTTTTCCAGGTCTCTCCCTTTCACAGTCATGTGGGTTTGCAAAAGCAGTCCTGGACAACGGAGAGGCAACAAATGATCCAGTACGTGTCATTTGCTGATACTCTTGTTTTTTCCACAGGACACATCCACAGAGGCTAAGCTTGCCCTTCAGGACTTGGGTTCTGGGCTCCTTACAATGTTTGTGGGAAGCTTGAATTCCTCTCCAAGCCTCACCTCACAGACAGACCAAGCGGAGACCCCAGAGAAGATCTCAAGAGCTGTTTCTGTTACTCATTTCATCCCTTCTTCTACACAACATCCCATGAAGTGAAAAGCACCATACAGACACCTGTTACTGACCACACAGCAGCAGGCCACCACAACCAACCTTGTACTTTCTTCTTTCTTCTCTCTTCTCCCTCCTCCTCCTCTTCCTCTTCCTTCATCTCTAGTCCACAGAGTTCTGGAAGTTAGCTGGAGCAGACAAGAGCAGGCAAAGAGCTGTTCTTGATGGCCCTTTGGAGATCCTGACAGGAAAAGACAGCGGAAAGATAGTATCTTTAAAAGAAAATAAAATGAAAAAATATGTGAATAAATGCATCCTTTTAAAAAAGTTATTTTGTGGGGCTGGGAAGGTGGCTCAGTGGCAAAGCGCTTGCCTTGCATGCATGAGGCCCTGGGTTCGATTCCTCAGCACCACTTAAGCAGAAAAAAAAAAGCCGGAAGTGGCGCTGTGGCTCTAGTGGTAGAGCGCTAGCCTTGAGCTGAAGAGCTGAGGGACAGTGCCTAGGCCCAGAGTTCAGGCCCCACGACCAGACCCCCCAAAAAATAGAGTTATTTTGTGGTTTCTATCAGAGGGAAAAGCAGAGCTGGAGCCCAATTGTTTGTCTTTCTAATCTAGTTCTCTGAACTGCTAAGTAATTTCTACCTATTTACATTTATATCTACTTAATGACAAATATAAATAATATATTTAATACAATACATGTCACATTACTTGGCATATTCTATACTATGTTATACATTATATATTAACATAGTATACTATATGATGTATAGTGTACATAATTATATAGCAGATTATATATTATTTATGTATTTACATTATATAACTCACATGTATTTATGTTATTTTTAATATATTTTTTCTACTATCCCTTCCCTCCCCAACTCCTCCCCCACCCTCTCCCCAACCCCCCATTTATATATGTTATTATATATTATTATATTACATATTGTATAAATATTATATATGCTACACATACATATATATGCACATACCCACCCATACATTATATAACTATATATTACATGTTATATATATTATATATTATATAATTATCATATTGTGTATATATACATTATATCACATATATTATATAATATTATGTATAATATATAATATATAGCATATGTATAATATATAGTATGTATAATTATATAAAATGTAATACTATATAATACATT